GTTGAATGGTGTTATTACATAGCAATTTTTCCCTTTTTTGATTCAGATGAAAACTCAGAACTGTTCTAAATATAATGGCCATTTCATGCTAGATGAGGACCAATGTCATTTACACATGAATGAGCACTTGTTACGCTGGTTTTTATGTTCCTAAGACTTTCTTTCACCCATTGCAGGCTAGAAAATTTATGGCGTTTCAAAGGGATTGTAAGATTGCAAATAATGACCCAAGCTTATCATGTTACAAAGCAAGCTACAACTATATTGAGCTATCTTCACTCATGGAGCAAAGTACATGCTGATGTTAAAGCTCACCAACTCTGTATGGTAACAGAAGACGGATCAGGCAAAACAAATAGAGTCAACATAAACTTGAGGCAAAGTTTCATTATATAAAGGTGAGACCAGCAGCTTCCACATCTGTCAGCTTGCTAGACTTCAACTTATTTTATATAGGATTCTACAAGTTTCTTCATAATCTTGGTGTGCTTATGCTACAGAACCATCACAAAACTAGGAGTGTCAAAACTTCGATTCATGTATAATCTTGGTGTGCTCGTTCTACAGAACCATCACAAAACTAGCTTGTAATCTGCTATTTCTTCTTGTCATTCTGTTGATACTGATGTCAAACATGTTTCACTATGGCAGGAAAATGGATTTTTAATTGTTCCTAAAGGTCAGGCACAGAATCACGACCACGACCACAAGCCTCACACTCATTGGTGTATAATGTATACGACCATTCAACTAACTTTAAGTAAAACTATAGTGGTGTTTTCATAGTTTTGTCGTACTTGTATATGATAATACAAAGCAAATTTTTCAATAATAATATGTTTCTAGTTTGTAAAATTAAATAGAATAATTTGTATCTGGCGTCAAATATGGTGCTAGAATTTTTTTTACACTTGGATATATTATTAATGATGCTTTAAATAATGTTGTAATTTTGTCGCAAATAATATTTGCGACGGTCATTTTGTGTTGTCAATAGTTGTGAAAACATTTGCGACATAGGTTTGTTGTGACGCGTCCAAGGCCATCGCCAAAAGCTTTTTACGACGTTTTATTCACTTTTTGCAACGTGTCCGTTTTGTCGCAAAAGGGCCATTTTTATTTGTAGTGAGTCTAGGACGGGACCCAAAAGTGGTCCGGCTTGTTCTGAGTGATGTGGTTAATTAATCAAGGTCGAGCGGGACGCTAGGAACACATTGGACCTTTGGATGTTATTAGAAATGTTGCCCGGGCATTGCTGCGGAATACAAATTGTATGAATGATATAAAAGATTATGTCATAAACGAAATTGTGAGATGCATACAATTGCCCTCTTGTGTGCTCAAGAGTATGCTACTGACCGGCTAACCATGTCGTCGGTTGTTTTCCAAAACAACTTGCATTTTTATTGAGGAGGAATTGTACTAGTGGAGATCAATCAAGAAGTACTGAAGGTGACATGTACAGAAAAAGAAGCTTGCTAAAAAAAGACCTAGGATATCAAAAATGTTTCACAAGATATATATGTAAAAGTAGTAGTTTGCAAAAGACAATATTAAGCGCATACAATTTGTTACTGTGTGAAGAAAGGTGAACCAAATTTACCATTGAAAATGAAGATTCTCCAAGCAAAGTGAACCTTGCTGATATTATTAAACACACAACAACCAAGTTTTATCCCATATTAAGTTGAGTTAGTTGTATGAATCTTAGAACATTACAACACTCGGTTTTGCTCCAAGTCTTTTGTTAGATAAACTTCCTGATGTTAGAACTCATAAAATTTAAATAAAAAAAAAAAAAAAAACACTTCTTGTGGCTTTTTGGTTGATGCATGCATGCCTTCACACAAAAGCTAGGACTTTTTCAAATTTGGCGGAGCTTTTAATTCCTAGTATTCCTAATTCAAGTATGCTACGGTCAATCTCAGGCGTGTATATAAAAGGTGGAGATATGGAGCAATGTGCATGTCTACGTACAGAAATCAATTCTTCGAAAAGAAGTACTAGCCATAAATTATTGGAATGAAACAATGAACGGTGTATAAATGGCCGTGTGTCTACAACTAGCCATAAATTATTAATTATAATGAAACAATAAACGGTGTATAAATGATCGTGTGTCTGCATACAGAAATCAACTAATCATAAATTATTGGAATGAAACAATAAACAATGTCTAAATGGCCGTGTGCAACTAGTTTAGAAAAATCAAACAGCTTCGTTTTAAGATCATCCATTGGCTAATTAACAAGTTTAGAATTCTCATGAAGTAAATAAAACTATGAGTTCTACTTTGGCAGCTAATGAAGTCAGTATTATGTTGCTTTATCTTTCATGTTCCCACCTTGCATTTTTACCCTAGACACAATTACCCAAAACCAACCCATAAGACGGCGAGGTATTGTCTCTAGCCGGAAAATCTTCGCAATCGGGCTCTTCAGCCCCAGAAGTTCTTCAGACTGCTATGTTTCCAGAGCAAACCATCGTTTGGGTTTCAAACGGGGACAACCGTATTAGCCATTAAAAGAGATCATGGAGGCCTTGCCATCTATTTAAATGACCAAAATACCCCTCTTTGTCAAGAGTTTAGGTTGTCGAGACCAAGAAAAGATGCTAGAATATATGAATACGTTCCAAACAAAAGTTTGGACAACTCTTTCATTTTTGGCACTGTCTTATTTTATCTTTTAATTTCTTTACTTGTCACTTGAAACTAAGGAAGCATGAATTTCTTATTGGTTTTTTACGTTTTAATATTATCTACGGGATTGCCAGAGAGAAAGTAGAAAGAGCGGGAAGCCTTTTTTTTTCTCTTTCTTTTCCTTTTTTTTTTTTTTATTTTTACTTTTTAAGTTTTTAAATATAATAACAAAAATGTTTTTTTTGTTATTTTAATCTTTCTATTTCACACTTTCATATTGACACTCAGTACTATAATTTGGTGATATTACTCTTTACTTGTAAGTAAGAGATCTTAGGTTCGAAAAATGTTCCACAAGATATATGTAATAGTAGTAGCTTGCAAAAGATAATATTAAGCGCATACATTTTGTTACTGTGTGAAGAAAGGGTGAATCAAATTTACCATGCTTTGAAAATGAAGATTCTCAAGTCAAAGTGAACCTTGCTGATGTTAAATTAACAACAACCAAACTTTATTCTATTGAGTTGAGTAGACTGTATGAATCCTAGAATGTCACAACACTCAATTTTACTCAAAGTCTTACGTTAGATAACCTTATCGATGTTAGAGCTCATAAAATTTAAGAAAAAAAGAAACGTGACTTTTTGTGGCTTTTTGGTTGATGCATGCATGCCACACAAACGCTTGGACCTTTTCAAATTTGGCGGACCTTTTAAATCCTATTATTCCTAATTCAAGTATGTTACGGTCAATCTCAGACGTGTATATGAAAGGTGGAGGATGGAGCAACGTCCATGTCTACGTGTAGAAATCAATTCTCAGAAAAGAAGTACTAGCCATAAATTCTTGGAATGAAACAGTCAACGGTATATAAATAGCTGTGTGCAACTCGTTTAGAAAAAATCAAACAGCTTCATTTTAAGATCATCCATTGGCTAATTAACAAGTTTATTTATTTATTTATTTTTTGGCTAATTAACAATTTTAGAATTCTCAAGAAGTAAATAAAAGTATGAGTTCTGCAGTGGCGGCTAATGAAGTCAGTATTGTGTTGCTTATCTTTCTTGTACTTCTCCCATCTTGCAATTTTACCATGGCTGGAAAATATTCGCAATCGGATTCTTCAGCCCCAGAAATTCTTCAAACTGCTATGTTGGAGTTTGGGATAACAAATTTCCAGAGCAAACCATCAACTGGGTTTCAAACAGGGACAACCGTGTTAGCCATTAACAGAGATCATGGAGGCCTCTATGTAAATGACCAAAATATCCCTCTCTATCAAGATTTTAGGTTGCTGCGTTCGAGACAAAGAAAAGACGCTATAACCTATGAATGCTAAGGAAGCACGAATTCCTTATTAGCTTTTTAATTTTTAATATTATCCGCGGGATTGCCAGAGTGAAAGTAGAAATAGCGAGGAGCCTTCTTTTTTTTTTCTTTTACTTGTTATTTTAATTAGAATTGTTGGACACGGTTATGTGTTATATTAGCACGTAACAAAAGTTTTTACAAAATTGTGACAAAATGAACACATAAATTTGCGACAACCATTTTGAAGGGTTGTATTTATCGATTTTCAATTTCAACGACCACCTTGATTGGATAAGTCAATTTCAAAGACTATTTGTGATAAAAACCCGGCATGTAAATTCTTTTAGGTATGAAACTTGTGGAGAGAATGCGATGCCCTGGAAATAATTGATTCATCCTTGGGTGAATCGTACCTGTCAAAGAAGTTGTGAGATGCATCCAAATTGCTATCTTATGTGTGCAAGAGTATGCCACTGACCGGTCCACAATGTCGGCGGTTGTTTTCATGCTAGTTAATGAAGCAGCGGCTCCTTCACCAAAACAACCAGCATGTTATTGCAGAGGAGACCCATCAGCCAATGCTGAAGGAGAAAATTCCGCAAATGACATGTGACACATTCACAATGTCTATCGATCTACTTGATACAACGGGGGTGTGGTAATAATTAATGAAGTTGAAATTTTAAACTGCGGTGTACGATTGGAAGTCGCAGGTGAGTTCACGTTGCATCAATGAAAAAAAAAAATAATAATTACAACTTACAAGATTACTCAACAATATATTAATACATTTAGTAAGCAATCAATAGTGCTTGGCAAACCTTTGTTTTGCAATAATGCATTTTGTGAAAGGTCTGCTGAATGTTTTAGTTCTTCAGCCCCTCCTTCCCCAGCTCTGCTCTTCCTTGGACACCATAAAATTTGATCAACCTGTCCGAGACGGTGATTTCTTGGTGTCCAAGAATGAGACCTTTGTCCTGGGATTCTTTCGTCCCAAAATATCGACCAACCGCTATGTTGAATTTGGTACAAGTTTTCGAAAGACATGGTTGTGTGGGTGGCCAACAGAGATAATCCCATCAACAGCAGCTTAGGAGTTCTTTCAATAGGTTCTGATGGAAACCTAGTGCTGCAAGCCAATACTAGCCAAGGCCTTCTTCCTCTGTGGTCAACAAATGTTTCGATATCATCAGCAAGCAACGATAATATTTTTGCGCAAATTCTTGATTCAGGGAACCTTGTTTTGGCTCAACAAGGTAGCCATGATGTTTTTTGGCAGAGCACTGATCACCCTACAAATATTCTTCTTCAGAATATAAAAATGGGGTTGGATAGAAGAAGTGGCATAAACCGGTTCCTCACGAGTTGGAACTCGGAAAATGATCTTGGGACGGGGAATGTTTCGTTGAGAATTGACCCGAATGGATCGCCTCAAATGATCTTGTACAACATTGAGGCTAAATTGTGGAGGTCAAGACATTGGAACGGGATTAAATGGAGCGGGACACCTGCCGCGCAGCCGAAGGATGTGTTTAAGATCAATTTTGTGAACAACAAAGATGAAATTACTTATCAGTGGACTGTTCTCGACCCTTCAGTTTACTCACTGTACATAATAGATGGTTTGGGAACATTCAAGCTCCTAGTATGGTAAGGGCAGAAGCACCAGTGGGATTTGCTTTGGTTGGCTCCATTGGATGCCTGTGACAGCTATGGCAAGTGTGGTAAATTCGGCAATTGCAATCCTACTATCAATGGATTTAACTGCACATGCTACCCCGGATATGAACCAATATCACCACAGGATTGGGATTTGAAAGATGGGAGAGGCGGGTGCAAGAGGTAGCAGGGCTCGCGGTCCATGTGCAGGAACGGCGAGGGGTTTGTGAAGATGGAAAATGTAAAGGTTCCAGACACGTCCTCCATAAAATTGGAGAAGAATTTGAGCTTGGAAGCGTGCAAGGACGAGTGCTTGAAGAACTGCACGTGCTTGGTGTATGCGATTGAAGATGTGACGAATGGAGGGACTGGATTCATGACATGGTATAGAGATTTGATGGATACTAAGCAGTTAACGGAAGGCGGGCAGGATTTGTACGTTCGTGCAGATGCAGTAGTTTTAGGTACCTTATTTTCCAAGAAATTGCCTCAACTACATGTTTCAACTTCATACCATTCATGGCAATGGTGCATATATTTTTCTTCTTTTTTTCAGCTCAGTATAAAAACAAGTCAGGAGGAGGGTATTTTTCCAGGAAAAGGCGACTGGCTATTATATTGGTAGTGTTAATTTCTGTCGCTTCATTGCTCATCCTCGCAGTTCTATGTTGGTTCAGGAAAAGGAGCATGAAAGGTATACGGAAAGTTTCCTCTTCTTTTGTCTTAAATTTGTTTTGCAGCTTTATTTCGGCTCAAGTTTCATTTTCTTTCGTCTTGGAAATTTTTATACGTTGAAATTTCAATGGAACTGAAACAGGGAGAGGAGGACAGCCCAAATTTCTGAATGATCCCGCTGCTCCTGGTGTACAAAGCTACGAAAATTTGCCAATAAAAGATGAGGTTGATGAACACAGAGGAGAAATCGATTTACCTCTTTTCGATTTAACCATCGTGGTTGCAGCCACATAAAACTTCTCTTCTGCTAACATGCTTGGACATGGCGGCTTCGGCATGGTATATAAGGTACTTCCCCTAGAACATTTTGACTTTTTGAGTATCTTAGCATTGTGTGGCTTCGGCATCTGTGTTGTCATTAAGATTTTCCAGTCTGCACCATGATTTCAGGGATGTCTAGCTCATGGACAGGAAATAGTTGTTAAAAGATTATCGAGAAATTCACGACAAGGCATAGACGAATTCAAGAACGAAGTAATGCTCATAGCAAAGCTTCAGCATAGAAATCTTGTGAGGCTTTTGGGTTTTTGCATACATAAAGAAGAGAGGATGCTAATCTATGAATACATGCCAAATCGTAGCTTGGACTTATGGATTTTTCGTGTGCCATCTTTACACACTGCTAATAAATACTTTCAGTTTCTGACATTAACCCTGAAATTAAGAAATCATAAACTTGTAGATAATAGAAGCTTTTATGTGTGGTGTTCAGGTAAAAACGGAAATTTGTTGTTAGATTGGAGAAAAAGGTTTCAAATTATCATTGGCATTGCTCGAGGCCTCCTATATCTTCATCAAGATTCGAGACTAAAAATAATCCACAGGGATTTGAAAGCGAGCAATGTTTTATTGGATGGTTCAATGAACCCAAAAATATCAGATTTTGGCATAGCAAGAATGTTCGGGGATGACCAAATTGAAGCAAACACGAACAAAGTTGTTGGCACCTAGTAATTGTCTCCTCTCCCTCAAAAAAAAAAAAAAAATTAAGTAGAACTGATATATATATATATATACATATATATTTATACTAATATTGTGTGATTGCAGCGGTTACATGTCACCCGAGTACGCTATGGATGGGTTATATTCCACAAAATCCGATGTGTTTAGCTTTGGAGTCTTGGTACTAGAGATCATTAGTGGAAGGAAAAACAACTTCCAATTCGAAAATTCATCTCTGAATTTGGTTGGAATAGTAAGTAAACAAATAATTTTTCAAACGATGAATCTAACTTTCGAGTAGTCCAATGATCTAAACATTGTGCTCAAAATTGTTTCAGATATGGGACTTGTGGACAGAAGGAAAAGTCTTGAACATAATTGATTCATCATTGAATTAGTCGTATTCGACTCCTGAAGTTATGAGATACATTCAGATTGGGCTTTTGTGTGTGCAAGAATACCTAACAAACCGGCCAACCATGCTAGATGTTGTATTCATCTTGGGGAACGAAACAACTCTTCCATATCCGAAAAAGGCAACGTTTAGCTTGAAAAACAGTGGTTCGGATTCTTCAACGCCTAAAGGAGCTTCTTCTGTAAATGATGTAACAGTAACAGTTATTGAAGCTCGTTGAGTCGCACTTTGCTGGCTCTTGTAGAGATTTTGCATTACTTCTCAAGTATTTGAACTCAAATCGAGATTCCTTGTGGAGAGAAAAGGCAATGTCTTTGAAATTGTCGATTCATCTCTGGGCGAATCGTACCCTATAAACGAAGTTGTGAGATGCATCTAAATTGCCCTCTTATGTGTGCAAGAGTATCTTGGATATTAGTCTTTAATCCAACGGCTAATAAGTCACTATAATTAATAAGGATTGTTATGGAGTGTAAGTAGGATTAGGGTTTAGTTATAAGCTATAACTTGGGCTCCATGTAAAGAAAATATTCTAGTTATTCTTGGAGAATAAGAGCTCCTGATATTATCCTATTTTGATTCGGATTTGGTAGATTATTTCCTCGTACAATAACAAGTCCTACTGACATCATTATGGGAGGATGAATTAGGTTTTTTTTTTTTTAAACAAACGATATTATCTACACCGAGGATGGGGGAGTGGGCTAAGCCTCATAATAGGGTTCAAATTTGCCGTTGGCGAGAATCGAACCTAAACCTCTCACTTATTAGTGAAGAAGAATATCACTAAACTGTAGTACTAAGTGGCAGGAGGATGCATTAGGATTGAGTTAGTATAAATACTAAACATGAGTCCCTGCACATACCATTGAATCACAACCCAAAAGAATTCCCCATCGGTTTGAGTTATACAATGGTGGTGAGTGTGCAGAAGGTCTTGCTTGTGTTCTTAATGTGCTCGTGTGCTTACTGCAATTTGTGGCTTGCTGTGGTATTGAGAATGGCTTCTCAAGGTTAGTGTTTTCATGGGGTTTTGATTCACATGAACATATTAGGTTTAACAGAGTATGCCACTGAGTTGCCAACAATGTCGTTGGTTGTTTTCATGCTAGGTAATGAAGCAGCAGCTCCTTCACTAGAACAACCAACATTTTTATTGGAGTTATATATAATAGTGGAGACGCATCACCACAATACTAAAGGATAAAATTCTGTAAATGATGTGACATGTAGTAGCATGGAACGTTGCTAAAACTCTTAAGATATTCCTAAATGTTGTATGTTAAACAACTATTGGTAGCTTGTAAAAGGTTATTAACCACAAAAATTTTGCTTCAAATAAGTAGGTTCTAATTTTCTTTCTAGTGCATTGACATGCGGGGCATGTCAGAATTATTGGTCTCGATTACGACGTAATTGAAGAGAAATTATACTAGTCTAGTTAGCTAATTCTGTAAATTATGTGACAGGTACTATGGTGAGGGCTTAGCTAATAGAAAATTTGGCGCAAAATTGAGCACAATGACATTCTAGAATTCATACAACCGACTTCACCTAACAAGATAAGACTTTATTGTTGTTGTTGTTTGTACTATAGTGGATGCTTGATCGCTAACAGTCTTGGATTTGAAAGAAAATGATCCTCGCAAGATCCTTTTCCTAGGGATCCCGTGATCTCACCAGTTCATCATACATTGTGTGGTCAGAAATCATTTCAAAATTTAAAATTTAAAATTCAAAATTAAATATGAATAGTACCTAACGAAAATTGACAGTATGATATACGATGAACGGATGAGATCACGGGATCCCTAGAATCCCTAGGAAAATGATCCTCGCCAGATCCTTTTCCGGATTTGAAATGTAAAACCGTCCACTACATATGACACATTCACATTTATTAGAGTTTAAGAATGAGAGATTTGTGTTAGTCAAACTTCATGTACAAGAGAGAAGATGTTGATCTGTGATGCTTTGCTTGCCAAATAAATAAAAGGAAAACTAATGAAAATGGCTTGAAAATTTTGAGTTTTAACGAAAAAGACAAAAAAATGTTGTAAGTAAATATTACCAGGAGTGACTTTTTAGAGTAAAAAATGTCAATTTTCGTTAAAGTAAATAGTACCAAAAGTGTTTCGTTAAAACTCCCATAAATAAATTCCAAGACTTTTCAAATTGGTTTACCTTTATTTCATTTTATTACAGATCGCTTATACCATAGTGTCCATACTAATCACACCTAGCATATTTTACCATCTACTAGCACATTACGTGGTATTGAATTTTATGACAAAAATGAAAGGTAAAATCATTCATTATATTCATTTATCAAATTTCCGACATATATTTTTGCATTCTTCAACAGCGTGAACATCACTCTCCCTAGCCACTACGGGTCGTACTTGGCCCCATTCGGAGCCAATTCGTACTTGGCCCCATTTGGTGTGGTCTGAATTGATGAAGTGGAACTTTCTAGCTAGGATCAGTTTGAGGGAATTGTTATGTCTCATCCACATGTATGCCTGGAAGTTGCGTGTAAGTTCACGTTGCATCAACGACTGGAAGTCGCCCGTATGCCCTTAGCGTTACTGATGAAACTCAATCAAAGAAAAAGAAAATCCAACCTTTCCGGCTTTTTGTTTCTGCATGTCAAAAGAAGCAGCCATTTTAGCACTTAAACTCCTCCATGAGAAAGCTAACAATGAATTCTACTGAATTCTTTTTTGTCAGTACTGTATTGCTCATCTTCGTGATTCTTCCCTCTTCCATTTCGGTTACCCTAGACGCCATTACCCCAAACCAACCCCTAAGAGAGGACGACGTTCTTCTCTCCCCCACTAAAATCTTTGCACTAGGGTTTTTTAAGCCAGGCAATTCTCGTAACCGTTACATCGGAGTTTGGTTCAACAAAATTCCAATCCAAACCATTGTCTGGATTGCAAACAGAGAAAACCCCATAGTTCCTACTGCTGGAACTGGACTTCTAGCCATTCATGGAGATCATGGTGGCCTTGTTATTTATGGGGAGGACCAAAATAACCCTATCTGGTCTGCTAATCTCACCGTCTCTTCTCCAAACAATTCCGTGATAGCCAAGCTTTCGGATAAGGGAAATCTTGTTGTTGAAATTAATGGTGAAAAGGTGTGGCAAGGTCTTGATTATCCCACAGATACGGTGCTTCCTTCTATGAAACTTGGGCTGGACAGGCGGTCCGGGTTGAACCGGTTCCTCACATCTTGGAAGTCCCAAGATGACCCGGGAATGGGCAACTGTTCGTACCGGATAGAGCCAACTGAGAGTCCACAGGGGTTCTTATACATGGGTCAGACTCCATTGTGGCGGAGTGGACCTTGGACCGGTGAAAGATGGTCCGGGGTGCCTCAAATGGAAAATAAGATCTTCTTCAACGTTACTTTTGTGAACGATCAAGATGAGGTATCCATCATGTATAGTACTGTTTATGAATCAATCATCGTAAAGATGGTCATCGATGAATCAGGAAACATTGAACGGTCCGCATGGCAAGGTGAAGTGCATAAATGGGCCAAGCATTGGTCCGCGCCGGATGGGCAGTGTGATTTTTACGGGAAGTGTGGTCCGAATAGCATTTGTGACCCATACCCAAAATTTGCGGATAAATTTGAGTGCAATTGCTTACCTGGATTCGAACCCAAGCTGCAACATGAGTGGTATTTGAGAGATTGGTCAGGCGGGTGCGTGAGGCAAGAAGGTTCATCCGTTTGCCAAAACGGGGAAGGGTTCGTGAAGTTGGAACGTCTGAAGTTGCCGAACACTTCTACGGCACGTGTGAACATGAGTAGGAGTCGGGAAGCATGTAAAGAAGAATGCCTGAGAAATTGTTCTTGCACGGCATACGCAAATGCAGATGAAAGGCAGGGAGGGAGTGGCTGTATAACATGGCATGGGGACTTGATGGACACAAGGACTTTTTTGGATACGGGTCAAGATTTATATGTGCGAGTTCATGCAAATGTTTCAGGTATATTACCATTATCAATTTATCTTCTTTCTTCTCTTTTCCTAATCAATAATTCCCCTTACAACACCGAGGTTCCATTAAAAAAAAAAAAAAAAATCTTCTTTCTTTATTTCATTAAAAACTTTGGGGAATTATTATTTAGTTTGGTAGTTGCACATTTGTTATCATTCTAAAAAAATTATTTGGCACTGGTCTCTTGCCAAATAATAAAAGTGAAATTGTTTCGTCAAGAGTGTAAGATGACTGCTATTTTGGAGTACTAATTTTTTTTTTATAAAAAATTCAGAAATTTCTATAAATTAATACTAAAAATTTAGTTCTTATGTTCATTGGAGCTTTTTACAAGGATTTTTAAACATGGAAATAAATGCTCGTATGTATATCTGCAGCTCAACATGAAAAGAAGTCAAACAGTTCTTTTGGCAAGAAGAGGAAGCTGGGAGTTTCAGTAGCATGTGGTCTATTGTTCTTCCTCTTGTTTTCCCTTGCATGTTGGTTGGTAAAGAGGAAGAGAAAAGGTAAACAAAATTCCTTTGCATAGGTTGCCCTCTAATCATTCACAATTATGTAACTGGATATTGGTTTTTATTATTTAAGAACACAATATTATCTGTTTATGTACTTTTATCACAGGTAAGAGAAGTCATGATAAATTTTTAGCATCAACCTCCTGGGAAGATTCTTCTGCTACAACAAATATTGATGAAAGTGGAATAAACTCTGAATTACCATTCTTTGAACTAAGTACCATAGTTAAGGCCACAAATAATTTCGCTTCCAACAACCAGCTTGGAGCAGGTGGTTTCGGCTCTGTTTATAAGGTACGTAGTTGCCCTCAAATAATGTCTCAAGTCATAAATCAAACTTGGAATAGACATTTTTAAGATTTATTTTTTAGCTATCTGCGCTCCAAATCAATTATTTTATTATTTTTTCCTCTACCCACCCTTGAAGTTTAACAGAAGAACATAATGAATAAATCTTGCAGAGAAAGAAAGAGAATCAAGAAGAGAGAGAGGGAGCAAGATTTAGAGAGAGAGAGATTTTAGACAGAAAAAAGTGAATCTTTGTTAATGGTTTCAGAAAAAATACAAGGTAGTGTTCCGTAAGGATATATATCCAAACCATATTGCTTACAAGCTAAGCTAACATTTAGCTCACAGGTTATTGACACTTGCAAACAATAGGATTACAAGACCATTATAGTTAACAAAAATCAAGAGACCCGTCCAATAAAGACTGGAAAGGCCGACTCAAAAATATATTTCATTAAAATTCAAACCCAATCAACAATCGATAAGTGACGGGAACTATCTTGTTTCTACTTTTCACAATTATCCCACACAGTGCTGCGGGTTTTGAAACTGTATAAAACACTTAGAAAGTTTTAAATCTATATATGATAAGCCATACTACTTATACATATGTGGAAATCTATTCACAAACCTATGGTTGCATGGTATAAATCTTCTACACAAAAAAAAGCAAGTGTTTCCCACCCTAGGAAATTGTTAAGCACCTATCAAACTAATTGATTGGAAACAGTATGGTGCTTCCCAATCTAAAGAGTTAATGACACTAAAGCAGCAGATTAGTGAATAGATTAGCGAGTTTAATTATGATTTGTTTTGGGTCCAAAGAAATCTCGTTTGGTGAT